TAGGTCACCGCAGAACTGTATCATATTCATGGGTCTGGAGGGAAAAAAGGAGGGGTTATAAATGGATAATCTGGTGTTTCCAGTTCACAGTGGACAGGGCCGGCTCCAGGCACGTGCTTGGGGCGGCAGATTTTCAGGGGCGGCATTCCGGCCATCCTTTTTTTTTCCGGTCCTGCACGAGGGGGCGCCCTGGAGCCGCTGCGGTTTGCATCGGGGAGCAGCGCCGGCACCGTATGGCTGGGCAGGCTCTGAGCGCGGGACACTTGGGCTGGGGGCTGCCCCGCGGGGCCCACGGAGCCGCCTGCAGGAGCTGCAGGGCGGCTGACCACCCCCCAGCGCCGCAGTAGGGCCTGGGCGAAGCAGCCAAGCCACCCAGGGGCTGCGGCAGGGCGGCCAGGAGCAGCAGCAGGGTCATAGAGGGGACCGGTGCCCGGGGCGCTGCTGTGTGGGACCCGCGTCCCACTCTCTGGGGCTCTGCTCCCTCTGGGGCCGCCCTGCCCCGACTTCTCAGCCCCTGCCGGGGCGGTCCCCCAGCTCTGCCTCATGGGTCTCGGACAGTCCTGGAGGCGGGAGCCCCGGCTGGAGGGACCCTGGGCTGAGGCAGGGCCCGGGAGCCCCGCTGCTTTCCCTGACTTTGCCAGCACCGGACCGGCTGGAGGCGAGGGGGGAGTGGGTGGAGTCAGCACTGGTGTGGGGGAGCCCAGCACTGGGGCGGCAGGGGGTGCGGGTGGGGTGGAGAGCCCAGGGTTGGGGCGGCAGTGGGGTGCGGGGGGAGCCTAGGGCTGGGGTGGGGGGCAGCCAAAAAATTTTTTTGCTTGGGGCGGCAAAAAACCTAGAGCCGGCCCTGACAGTGGAGGAAGAGAAGGACAAGAAAAATGTTAGTCTTTCAAGTATGTGGCTTCTTCTTGTCCAGTTTTAGCCTACAATGTTAATTAATGATGGCATTTATTTGTCAGATGTATCGGATTTTTGTACTCAATAGAAAATGACAACCCTGTGGAATCCTTCATGTTTATGAGTAGTCATCCTGTGTGCATATCTGTGCAGGACTGAAATTAAATTGCACAAACAGAAGAATCCTGTACCGAGAGGCATTTGATATTACAGTTTTTTGACTTATTTTTGAAATATACAACAGAAAACAAATCAATGACTTTAACAATATCTACAAGAACTAGATCTTCAGCAAATAATATTTAACAGCGCCTATGAGACCTCATTAACGGTGTATAGTGTAATTCAAAAGCTTATTTCAAAATAATAATTTATTGAAGATATATAAACATAAAAAGCACAGATGCATTTTAAAACAAGTGTGAAATCTTCTTTCTATATATAATACCTTTTGAAGATGCAAATAATATGAACCAGACTGTGATGCCTTACTCCATTCAATAGCATCTTACTCAGTGGTGCCAGCCCCCACCATTCAAAAATCATCTGTGAGGCCCCCAAAAGCATGAGGTTTTTTGGTAAATACATTTTGGGTTCTGTTTGTTTGTCTTCTGGTTCTTGAGCCTTTAAGATGCACTTGGGTCACTTTTTCAATTTCTAATTTCCAAACAGGAGGGCTAAAAACTTAGTTTTTCAAAAAGAAATAACATGAGACTCTCAATAAAATTCTAGGCATTATCAACATTCTTTACTTCACAAATCATCCCATTAACTAAAATGGGACAGACCACAGAGTAACTACAATGGGATGATTTCAGTGTGAGTAAGGATATCAGAATCTGGGTATCTGAGTCTAATTTTGCCACTTTACTCATAGCTAGTCCTATTTAAGTAGTGGGATTACCTGCAGAGTAAGGTATCACTCACTGTGAGTAAGAGCTGCAATATTAGACCCACAGTTAATTTTCTAGTTTCTTGAAAACATAAAATAAAATTTCCTGATAATTTTTAAAAAAAATTTAGCCTCCTTTTTAGTCAGTGCAATAACTGGTTATATTACTACCTTTCTCTCTATGTAGGAGGAGCCATTTGTGATGGTGTCCGAAAATGTTTTGGGAAAACCGAAGAAATACCAGGGTTTCTCAGTAGATGTCTTGGAAGCCTTAGCTAATTACCTTGGCTTTAAATATGAAATTTATGTTGCACCAGATCACAAGTATGGAAGCCCCCAGGAGGATGGGTCATGGAATGGACTGATCGGAGAACTAGTATTTAAGGTAAGGAGGTTAATTATTTATTAAATTAAAGGTGTATAATGACCCATAAGCATGTAGCTTATTTATTGATGTTGCATCATTAAGTGCCTCCCTTGATGGCTCAGTGATATTGTTTTATATGGTCACTGCCTATGTTAACAGGATCTAATACTGCTACCAATGCCCTGGGGAGTGATGGTGAGAAGATGAACATGGAATGATTCATCTGTTATCAGGGATCTCCCATCCAGTTTTTCAACCATAATATAGTACTGTGAGGTAATGTGGTTTAAAAAAAAAAACAGCGATCCTCAGCCTCTTAATTAATTTGGCAAAACCAGCCATGAATGAGAAGAGGCTGTCCTAAGGGGGAAAATTCTATGTTATTTTAATTAGTAAGACATTACATAAATAATGTATAGCATTTAGAGAAATATTGGTGGTGATGAATAATAAGTAAGGTATATGATCAACAGAAAATCTTTTATTGATGTATAATATTTGCATGATGTAGATGCATCAATTGAAAGCAATATATTTGTTAATCTGTATTTAATAAACCATCTTCATTTACTTAATTCTACATTAAATGTTTAATATTATAGCATATCTAAATTAAACAAAATAAACCTGCTTTATTTGGCTTTTTTTCCACTCTTCCCAACTTATCTGATCCTCTGCCTTCATTTTTTCCTTTGAAATGGAAAAGAAAAATCTGTGCAGCAGATGCGCTGGCAAATTTCTTGCTTGTGCTGTAGAGTTTTCAGATAAATTTTACCTGCCCCTGCTAATCCTGGGTGTGGTTGTCACCCTGTGGAAGCATATGGAGAAATGTTTGTTACTCTTTCACTCCTCAGTGGAATGGAGAAGAGTATTGTTTCCACTGCAACGCTCTCTTCTCTCTTGCCCTGCACAGATGCTGCTGTGCTGGAGCTCTGCATGAATGGAGCTCCATGGAGTGCAGGGGAGGTGCCATCCGCTGTGTAATCTGAAAATATCCATATGGAAATCCAAGTAGGAGCTAATAAGCTGTATTATCTCCCTCTGGGTCTCCTCCGTAGCAGCTATTGAGCATCCCCAGAGGGAATATATGCAATGATAGTGCAAGTCCAATGTGAACCACAGAGTATCAGCTATTCTTTGGCTCATAGAAGAAGGTAACCTTCCCACTGGTCCTTCCAAAATCCATGGTTTCTACAGCTTTATTTTTCCATACATACACTTAGCTTTTATACCATGGGTTATTTCTTTACTGGGGACAGTCTGGCCCCTGGATCTTAATGGAACAGGATCACATTTTTACTTTATTTTATTTTCTCTGATATCAAAAATCATCCTTTCTACCCTTCAATTTCCTCCACTCACAGTTAAGACAGAACAGAAGGGGAAGAATGCAACTTCTACCAAGAATGCAACTCTGACTTTAAAAGAGGCCTTGAGACCAAAAATGAAACTGCATACTTATTTAAAATCAGCTGGGTGTGGGGAGGGAGGAATAGATGAAACGTTGAATAAAAGTCATATTTAAGAGTGTGGCCAGCTCTCACCAGCTTTAGTTATTCTAAGAGAAAGTCATTATTATTATTTATTACTACTTGATGAGCAACCAGGTGCCTCATAAGAATCAAGACCTCTTTATGCTAGTTGCTGTATAAACACACAGCAGAAGAAAGTCCCAGCCCTAAAGAGTTTACAACCTAATACGAGATGCAACAAATAAAAGAACAAACAGTTGGAGGGGATATTAAGTAGGGGAGAATGAGGTTAATGACAGGGATATGTGGTTACATAGATTAACTGTAAATACAGTAGCAGGTTTTCAATTGATTGTGTGTATGTTTAACGTATGTATAAAAGCAGGAATACTAATGATATCAGGAGTCCACACAGGCCATCTACCAGTCCATTAGTAAATGCAGAAATACTTATAGTGCACATACCAAATTCAGGACATATTTAACCATGTGATGTACCTAAAGTAATGTAACAGGAGCAGCCTCATCCAGTGAGTACACAACATTTTTGCACGTCCAATTTAAGAGCCAATATCTGAACATTTGGGCCAAGGGATTGAACAATGATGAAAGGGTAGCAGGAAAGAAGGCAGAGAGTGGGAGGTGGGGGAATTTTTGAACATATGTGTATAGTTTCCTTAAAACTATCTGGAAGCCTGGGAGGAGGGTGGCTTGGGAAGGTTCTAGGCATAAGTGGTACAATGAAGCATAGAGGGAGAGACTTTTACACACACTCAGCTTTATAGATAATACCATTATCCTGATAACATTCCTTTTTCAGTGTAAGAAGAAAACAACTCTTACTGTGATTCTTTACCATTGTCACATGGAAATAGTTGTTTGCATGGTGCTCTCTTTCTTCATATGTTTGATTTAACTTTTTAGAATGCAAATTCTAGAGGGCAAGGACTTTATCTGCAGATGCATCTGTACCACCTGTTAGTACATTAGGGGCACTGGTGTAATATAAATAATAGTTGCTGTAAAAAGGAATGACAAATGTAAATGACCTAGTGGCTGATTGTGGAAGCCATTTTCCATGTCTGCAAGTGATATTTAATTAGCAGTCACAGCAAATAGTAAGGAGCAATGCAATCAGATGAAGTACCTAGATCATTAAGTACTTGGGCTAATAGATGGCAAATGCAGATAAGTGTTGAATAATAAGTCTCGCGGTAAAATGCACTAAAAAAAACCCCATTGAATATCTGGTAAATGGTAAAATGATATAGCATGCGAACTAAGAAGGGAGGTGGGAATTAAAGAGTACTTGAAAGGGAAAATGGATGGTCCCAGGTGGTAGGTTATAAATGAATACAGTAATAATCAAATATCTGTAATAGTGATGGTGTCAACCTTTTCTGCATTGCTGAATAACACGAGGTCTATTAGGATGTAAAGTAACCATCCATGAGAAATGGACCAGCCCTATTATTTGTAAAAGACTGGAAAATGCACTAGAACACCACTAGGAAATGGACTAGTTATTTTAATAGGTATGTACTATATATACAGCCTCTGTGATATTGTTATCCTCAAGAATTTTAAAAGTTAGCTTCAGATAAGACATTGAAAAGTTTGGGTGGATAGTCAATGATTGTCAGGACTTCTTTGGCCTTGGATTGAGGAAGCAAATCTTGTGAGAAAAAGTTCTTTGGCACTTACAGTATTTGTTTGTACATCTTACTTTTGTAAAATAAACTGCCTTTGTTGTAGTCGAATCTCTTGCAAATCCAGATGAAACTAGGAAGTGTAGAGGTGTGCTGTGATCATTTTTAAAAGTTAACCTAGCATTTTCCAATTTAAGAAAATTGATTTTTGTCTTAGGTTTTGGGCATAGAATCAGGTGGATTCTTGCTTTCTAATCATTTCTCTGTTCTCTAATTATTATGATACATAATCTGCTGCTCTGTGCAATGGCCAACATACCATCATCAATTTGTCATTTGAGAAACAGTGCATAACCCAAACAAGAGTCCACATTCTCAGTGACTTTGGGGCTGAGGCAGGATTGAAATACATTTAATCAATGTCACATGACTGTCTCCTAACCCAGAAATCCTAAATACTGAAATCAGATGGTTCACTAATAATACATATACAGTATTCTTTCCTTCCCAATAACAGGATGCTTGGAGAATCTCAAAATCATTCTGAGATCAGACATTTACATTGATAAGCAAATGACACGTCATTGAAGGTGTGTTGTTTTATTTGGGTGCTAAAAGTGCACGGTCTGTGACTCTGAACGAATGTAATCTCTCTCTTATGCTGAAAAGTTATGATGGGAGCTTGCCTCTCACTGACACACAACTGTGTCCAGACTTCTCTTTTTTAATTTTTCCCTTACTACCGCAGCCCAAAGCCGATGACCTATATTGAGGTAGGAGGTGATCTTTAGCCCATTATATTGTTAGCAGCAGAGGTTCACTGTGCCTTCTCTCTCTTTCCCTTTCCCTGCCTCACTTAAGGGACTATTGAATAGCTGGGCAAGCAGCCAGCATAGATCTATCTCTCACGGCGTGCAAGCTGTTCCTGGAAGCCTGCTTTCTCCTTATTTACAGTGAATTGAGCTTTGCTTCCAGAACTCCAAAAACCTCTTTGATTGGCAACCTTTGGGGCGGGGAGAAACACTTTAGATTAAAAGTTGAAGCTATTTTTAAAAATTCTTATAGGACATTGACTGATTTTTTTCCCCATTCAAATCTGACATGCTAATTTAGTCAACACAGTGTGGAGGCCATTCAGAAACCCAAGGGTTGCCCTTTACACATTGCCACTTGAGCCAAGATGGAGTTGGTCACACTGTGCATGTGCAAAAATTAAATCTCTCTCTTCACAAGTGTTGTGGAAAACAGCAGCACTCACATGACGCATTGTTGAGTGTATCTCTCAGAGAAGGCATGTCATGTCTTTGCGGTGCCACTGCAGCAGGTGCACCATATGAGATGACAGTTGCTATAGTAAGTGCATAGCTCCTGTGTTAAATAGAGCAAAGCCTCATGTGCTGCATCTACATAGCATTTCCTCGAAGACAGGCAGGCACACCTCCTCCCGTATTCCCAGGGAGGTTAAAATTTTGCTTCTCGTATTTGAGTGCAGGGGACTGGACTAGATGACCTCTCGAGGTCCCTTCCAGTCATAAAATTCTATGATGATGACTTATGTACTTTTCTTTGTC